GACATGTGATGCAAAAGAGAATGCCTCAGGTATTGTGAATAATGGGGTTGTTTTTGTGTGTGAGAAATGGACACACACGTGAAGGTCAGCGAGGGCACCGGTTACCCTCAGCCCAGAGCAGCTCGGGCGAAGGGGCCTCTCGCCTGGGTCAGGGGCCGCGGGCTTCCGCCCCTTCCTTAGAAGGCCTGCTCGTAGGTCAGGCTGTGTTAACACTGTGGTCGGGTTACCAAGCGCATAAGACAAGGTTCCCAAACTCCAAGACATTGTTAGTGGCAGAATTTTAACTTTTTTTTAAATAAACCTTACAAGGATATACAGTAGAACAATTAACAGACTTACAATATAATATATTGTTATAACATATTGTTACAATACCTTACAATATAACAGAACTGCTGTGGTTGAAACTGGAGTAGGAGACCCAGAAGCAGGCCTGGTCTGGTTCCTCCTCATCTTCCTCTCCGAGGTCCCTGACACCTCTCAGAAATCCAGCGCCCTGCAAAACACTTGAGAAACCAGCTAGCTTCATGGGGCAGGGCAGGGTGTGTGGGGCTTGAAGACATTCAGCCTTCCAGAATATGAATGCCTACACCACCAATTCTTGGTTATCTTTGAACAATTATTCTGTGCCACCATAACATTAGTATCTTCTCCTGTAATTGTGGGAAACCATAACATCTAACTGGTATGATTGCCGTAAAGAATAAACAAGGTAATAGATATTAAAGAACTTTGTCAAAGGGAAATTGATATGGTTGGTAAATGATTTCTCTGAGGCTAATAGAGTTAATTAGGTATATCTGCCAGCTAATCCATTTAATAAAAGACAGAGTCTTATTCAGAACCTGGGTGTATCTGCATTAATTTATTCTTTTTTTTTTTTACCATTTCTTGGTATTATGACATGTGTTCATTGTTTTGAGGAAATCTTACTTAAAGAAAGCCTATTTCTCCAGGGACTGAGGTAAATCTAGTATACCCCAAAAATTTACTTTTAATTTCTGCACTAACAACTAGAAACATTGTGAAAGATGCTTTCTTTCTTGGGAGTAGGAATTTGAAAAATCTGCATGAAAACAGAATTAAACTAAACATCATAGTTGTTTAGTTGTTTTTTGTTTTGTTTTTTTTAAGGCAGCATGTATTTGAGGCAAGTGCAAATGTTAATCATGGTTTGATTTTTTTGGCAGATATCTCCTGCTTCCAGCTGAATGACTCCTCCTATGACAGCCTGGAAAGTGAGCTGAATGAAGAAGTCGATGCTCCATGCAGTGACTTAGTAAAGAAACTCGGTCCAGGCAGCAGAAGCATGGACTCCGTGTTAACCCACATTGACTCTGACCTCGAGCAGCCTGAGGCAGAAGGCGTTTTAACCTTGAGTGAGTTTGACTTAGACCATCCTAAAGATGAAGATGTCCATGTGGAACAGCCCGGTGAGCCCGTGCCAGTGGCCATGGCAGCAGTGCACAGAAAGGCCTCACTGCAGGACCAGGCCAGTGCCCCCTCTGACACAAGCACCCCCAGCTACCTGTCCGCAGCTACAGAAGATGCTCCAAAAACCCCGATGCAACAGCGACACTGCTCGGAGCCCAGCATCGGCTACCTGGGTTCAAAGCTTTCCTTTCTTATGGCGTTTTATCAGAAAAGGATACGCAGGTCCAGCTATGATGCGATTCTCCTGAAAAAAGATGAGAACCATCTGAGTCAGAATCCACCCCTCCAGGAAGAGGGTAAGACAGGTTTTAAAACGAGTTTAGTCACAGATACTGATGTCAAGAAAAATGCCACTGATAAAAATCATAAGGAGAAAAGCTTTTGTGATAGCGAAGGAAATCATGTAAAGCTTTTTCCTAAATCCAAGCCAGGGACCATTTCTTACAGCCGCCTGTCCTCACACGATCGTCCCAGGAACCAGCCCTTCACTGCGGACATGGCTGGGTACTCCCCACCACGCACAGCAGAGCCCCTCAAGGGCTCAAGGAGGCAGCAGCGCTGCTCAGAGCCCAGCACTGATGACCAGCACTGCAAACTGACCTATCTCAGGGGACTTTATTCAAAAAAGCAGCAGCACAACGCGAGCTGTGACACCAGTCTCTTGCCCGGAGAGGAGGATAATCTCAAGAGGCACAAGTCTTTGCAGATGGAGGGGCAAAAGCTTATCAGTCAGAGCTTGGTCATGGGGATCGAGGTTGGCAAGAGTGGTGCCGCAAACCAGAACACTGAGAAGGTCTTCCCCTCAACATTAAACATTTGCCCGAGGAGTAGCTGTTCCAGCTTGTCCTCCCCAGACACGTCCCCATCTGGCTCGCCAGTGAGCTCCCAAGACAGCGCTTTTCCTCAGATTTCTGAACAGTCGGTGTTTACACCCACTGAAACATCCTCTCCAGTAGATTGCACTTTTCAAGCTCAAGGAAAACAGGAAGAGCTTTCTTCTGACTTTAGCAGTTCCAGCCTCATTTCTGGAATTCCCAGTCCCTCATCAGGGCAGGCCAGCAGCCACCTGGCTCATACAAAAAAGGACAGCCTAGAGGGGCATTCACAAATGCATTCTATAACTCTTCACCCCAGCACATGGTTGAGAAATGGTATAGCCAGTTTGAAAAATTGGTCCCTCAAAAAGAAGGCAAGGGTACCGAGACTAGAAAACAATAAAACAGGTTCTCTAAAAGGACCCATGGAGCCACCTCCATTTGCTTCTGGCATTCCAGAAGCCAGCACACTGCAAGAGAGACAGACAGACATTCCCCAAAGGGCAGCTGAAGGACTTGGAGCTGTGCAAACAGCCCAGTGCTGCAGTCCTTACCCCAGCCAGGACTCGGAGAAGGATGGTAGCTCTCCATCCAGCCTGGCGGGAGATGGACTTGAGCTTTGTATGAAGTCCCCTGAGGAAGGAGAGAAGGATGAGCAGTGTTCTGGTACTCTGCCTCTAGAAGGATCCTCACCCAGCTCTTTGACAGTGGATGACATGTCCAGCCCAGACTCAGGGCCAACAGTGGTTTCTGATGCTGAGGACACGCATTCAATCCAAAGACATTTAACCACAATCAGAATCTAATATCTGCAAGGACAGAAACTGGGCTAATAACATAAAGATAATAATTATTATGACCCCTGTGTATAGAATAACCAAGACAGGTAGCAT